GCGGGGGTGTGTGTGTGTGTGTGTGTGTGTGTGTGTGTTTGTGTGTGTGTGTGTGTGTGTGTGTGTGTGTGTGGGTGTGTGTGTGTGTGTGTCCGCGCATATACGCGCGCATACACACGTCTACACACACGAATGTATGGATGAACATATGTGTGTATGTATGTATGTATGTATGTATGTAGGTATGTATGTATGTATGTATGTTTATGTATGTTTTTTGTATGTTTTTGTATGTAGGTAAGTATGTATGTAACTATGTAGGTATGTAAGTATGTATGTATTTATGTATGTATGTATGTATGTATGTATGTATGTATTCATGTATGTATGCGTGTACGTATGCATGTGTTCCCGTATGGAAGAGAACACTACGAACAACAGCATGGCACGCTTAGTGGAGCACGCCATGCTCCTCCCGGCACGCAGGAAACTTGAGCACGTTCTGGCTATCGGACAACAGGCATCGCTGAAGTGCCGTCACTGCTTGAGTTCCTATTGTGCTTTAGGCAGCCTACTGCAACCGAGGAAGCTGCAACAACACGTGGAATGTTGCCGATTTAATGCGGGCTTGCAGGCTTCCTACGAAGTGACTACATAACTTACAGCTCAAGCACAAACGGACACGTACTGTCAAGATCCTCCTATCTTCCGCGACAGCAGAGCCTGCATTAACTTCGCACGAGACCTCAATCACTCCGTCGACCTTGTATCCTTCCTGTTTGCTTGCAAAAGTGCCCCCCTATGCACCTTAAACAACATATCGGATCCTCTATATGGCTCTATATGGAAACGAATGCATTGCTGGCGGGCGGAAACCTTTCAAACTATTCCTCCTGAGTTCTTAGGAATCCAAAATCTAATAACATGATTTGGTGCATGTGGCAATGCAGTTGGTCCATCAACAAGACTGCTCCAAACGTTCCTATGCCGGCGGCTTTTTGAAGCTCGTAGGTCGAACACGTCGGATGACTGCTTTGGTGGCTTGCGCCAACCTCAGATGCAAGTCTCTGACTCAAAAGCACTGCCAAGGCTATCATCTTACTGGTGGGTAGTGGGGAACAAGGTAATCTAATCCCGATATAATATATCCCTTTATTCCCTACTAACACCCAGCCCCTACTAACACCCAGTAAGTCATGGTTCCACAGCTATCCACCCCCCCCTCCCCCCAGATTTCACCAGCTATCCAACGCCCCCCCCGCTCTCCAGACTTCACGTCACCGGGTAAGTTTTCTCCTTGGTGAAGCTGATATTTGGGGAGATGACGTGGGGCTACAGAGAGCTTCTGTCGGGACAAACTGTAGTTTATAGGGGGCCATGAACGGATGGGGATGGATGGGGGCTTCGCGATGCTTAGATGAGATTTCGGTAGCACCAGCCTTCAAAGTAAGGACCCTATAGACTACTATCATGCGACTCCTAGAAGGTCCTTTTTCTAGGTTACCTAACTCGCAGCCAACAACACGTCGCAAGTAGCCGCCCTCTAATGACTGTGTCATCATTGGCATGCCAGGGAAGCTTAAGCACCTAGATAACAAATACTTGAATGGCACTGCCCTGCAGCCTCCACATAGTCCCGGGCTTAAACGGCTAGGGGTCTATCCCTCCAGACTGGCGTGCACACTGGCATCAATACTGTCAAAGTCTCGGGAAGTAGATACAAGGGCTTTGATGGACAGCACCAGGATCTTTAACATTTGAAAACGAATCACCGGTGGATAGAGTTGCAAAGGTCACTGCCTGACCGGAGGCCTGTACAACTGGTTACTCTGCAGTCCCGCTACAACCCCGAAAATGCTGGAACTATGGGCCCTTTGCGTGTGGCTTGTATATTGGAGGCCAGAACCCCTAGGCCCAGAGAACCTCGATGCGTGGCGACTTCTAAAGCGTTGACCCTAATAACAGTCATGATGGGAATAACAGTAATCTCTGTAAGAATAGTACTAACGCTAATGATAGCAAACATGCCCGACAAATAGACTCCAAACCCTGAATCCTAGGTCTATGTGGACTGCTTCGGTCCAATGTTACGGAAATAGATATGCAGGATGATAATTAAGGCTTTATAGGGATGATATAGAGCCTTGCAGGGGTTATCTAGGTGATATAACAAGGAGTACCTAGGGTTCATGGAGGGGGTTTCTGGGTCTGGGTTTAGGAAGTAGGGTGTAGGAACAGGTTTAGGGTCTGGGTTTAGGGTTTAAGGTGTGGGGACAGGTTTAAGGGCTTGGTCAGGGTTTAGGGTATAGGTTTAGGCCTTGAGGATTGGCATTTGTTGCCTCGGGTTCACGTTCATGTGTTTAGTTCAAGGGCTTGGCTTACATTACAATTGCCGCATGCATCGCTTCCAACAAAAAGCCTTGATGAAAGCAAGGCGTTTTGCCTCTATTGACCCGACCCCTTGCTTTACCCAGTTGTCCTTGAGTTTGCACATGCTTGGATTTACGAATCGTTTGCTTTGACTTCAGGTTGTAGGCTCAGCGGTTGGGGTCTCACCTGTAGTGGCAGGTTGCGCCGCGTGGGCTACCTCGTTTCGTTGATCTTTGGATGTTCCAGAAAGAAAGAGGGGTGCCCAACTTTGATCCCATAAACTATAATCCCCATCATCAGGGGTAATCCTAATTTTTGGACACGCCCATGCTCGGGATCCTTGAGTGGGCACAAAGCGACAGGTTGCGGCGCTTATCACTCAAGTCCAGCCGTGTTTCGGGCATAGGGTTGGATGACTCTCCCGTACAGTAAGAGTTACCACAATGGGTAATAGGAGCTATAAGACAGTTACTGGGTGAATGGCCCAAATTTATGGTTTATCCTGAGGTTACCTGTGGTTGGTGCTCAGGTTCTGCCCTGCCTGGAAAAACCAATCTACCTGTGAAAAAGGACGCGTACCTGGTATTTTGGGATCTTCACCGCTGTCAAGGGACTAGCTAACTGTAGGTTCATTCCGGTTGAGAGGTTAAAAAGTTGTACTCCTAGACCCTCCTCCTACCCTCTATTAGGGCCTAAGTACCCATTATCAGGGACCACATATCCCCAATTAAGGGTACAAGGAAGGTCCTGGCTTGTAGGGCTGCAAGCTTCAATTGCCAGAGTCCAAAGGAGAAGCTTTTCGAGCCTCATTGCGCTACCACTACCGAGGATAGGGTTTAGGGTTTAGGGTTTAGGGTCTGGGGTTTAGTATCTGAGTCCTAGAGACACACACGCCACCTAATAGAGAGGTGAGAAAAAACCTGTGCGCTTTCCCAGGGCCCGGTCATCCTTCCCCAAGTTTGCGGATCCACCAGAGAACCAGCAAGGGGCCGTAGGCAAAGGGCAGTCTTTCGTCAGAAAACTGCTCCTCCTAGAAAACAACATCATAAGTCATGTGCCTGTGTTAGTCTGCGTGGCATTCCACATGGGTGGAAGTTTTTACCATTCTGGGAATGGGAGCTTCTCAGAAGGGCCCCCGTCGCATCCTTAGAGGGTAGCAGGGGGTAGCCGGTACCCTCGCGTTTGCCGGTATTTATTGGATCCTTTCCCTTGACCCGAAATCTGGAATGCCATCTTGAACAAAAAGTATCAAAGGGTTGATGCCTCAAAGAAGCCCCCCCGCAAAACACCATAGCATCAAGCCTTTGAGTAGAAGTCCTCCCTCTCACCTCCATTTCAACACATGCGCCCAGAAGGCAAGTCAGGCTTTTGGGGTCTAAGGTGGGTACAAAAAATCCTGCATGACCCTAGGTACCCCGAACCTTGGGAATTGTGGCTCTATGGTAGACTAAGGTCATGCAGGGTTTCGTATATATCAACAGTAGGGTTTCCCAACACACTGCAATTCTCATAGTTCCCTCCCTCTCTATGGACAACCTTACCACCCCTAAACTGCGCACCTCAAACCATTCGGAGGTTTTCAGAGATGGGGCGGGGACGGCAGTATACTAGAATCCTATAATTTCTAGATACACAAATCTCCAGAAACCACTATACAGTCCCACGGGGTCATATCACCCTAAACCCTAAACCCTGAGCCATGCGCCCGAAACCCCAGACCCTAAATCCCGAACCCTAAACCCGTATCCCTATAAACCTCACATGGTCCTATGACACGGGCGCCGAGGCGCTCCGTGCAAAGAGATGGCATCCAGGGCCCTGACAGCAAGCCGGGGGGTTCTCAGGGTTTAGGGCTTGGGGGTTGGGGTTCATTTTTTTTTGCAGCGCCTCTTTTGGCGTTTAGGGTTTGGGGTTTTGGGTTCCGGGTTTAGGGTCTGAGGTTTGGGGTATAAGTGCGTAAACAACATGAGAGTCCAAAACCTCCAACATGGTCCAACCGTTTCTTATTTTACATACTCTGCTTTGGAAGTCCAGGTACCGGTTTCTCCTTCAGATACTAATTAATAGTTACTATTTGCGACTGTATGCCTTTGACAACCAGATCGTGGTTCCCGAAAATTACGACTCCATTTTTGGGGATCCCCATGATGCGCAAGGGTTACGGTACATTGGGGTCTTTACAGGGTTCCCCCCACTTAGGGAAACGG